AAGAAGATGGAAGCACTGTATTGGGCATTGCTGATAGGAATTGTGGTATTTCAGCAAACTGATTCCTCTCATTGTTCAAGTCTTGGCAACTTCTGAGCAGCTATAAACACCTACTTCAGAGTGTGTGTTTAAGTTCAGCAGAGCAGAAGCCTGAGGCTAAAAGAATGCCACATTCTTCTTTGGAGTTCTGTTCAGGTTTTGCTGAAGAATACTACTACTAGAAGTCATTGCTTTCCATTTGGTGTTTGTATTCCTCAGGAAAATGTCAGCTGTGTGCTATAATAATTGAATGCAAGTACTCTAAAGTTGGGTCTAAGTGGATGTCAAGGCAGTTTGAAGGATATGCACAGTTCAGTGGATGTGTGTGCTGTAGTAGCTGAAGGAATTTTCAACCAAGATATTACACTTTAATGTGCAATGAAAAAAAGGAAGACTTAAAAATCTGAGTCTTTGCAGTGAGGTTTGCTGGGAACTTGTTCTTAGTTCGTGTGTGTGTGTGTTAAGGCAGTATTTTGTGTACAGGGTTTCTTCCACTTAAGAAGTCAGCCTCTTTGGGGGCCTGGAGTGGGCAGGTGAAGGCAGGGTGGGGGGTGGGCAGCCTACCTCAGCAGATCACGCTGCTACTGGCAGGAGCTGGTTCTGCTGCTCCTTTCCTCTGCATGCTGTCACTTTTTTTTTTTTTGGTGCTTTAGCTCCTGTCAGGCAATGCCAGGAAGCAGTTCTGTTCACTGATGTAGCAGCAGACAAGCAAATAGTTTTCTGCTGAACCGTTAAGTCAGTTTGTTTTGCAATCAGATGAGCATCAGTCAGTACAAGGAGGAGGTGCTGTGGAATTGTGTGCCAGGAGCTGTGGGAGAGAGATGAGTGGGAATTGGGCTCCGCTTATCCATGGCCATGAGCCATGCTCAGCTGTGTCGTGCATTCATATTTGAAGGCTGAACAAATAACTGAGAATCTGACATTTTTCTCATCTGCCAGTATTGTGTTTATAATACAAAAATCTTTCTCTGAGAAATATGACATCCGGAGTATCAGACTGGTGCATACTCTAAAAATAATGTTTCCTGAGTACATCATTGCTGCCAGTATGAAAATAGAGCTCTTAGCAGAATTGCAGTCTTGTGTAGGCAGTAGCTTAAGCCTGTGTGAATTTGAGGGAGGCTCAAAATGACAAACCAGCTTTTCAAGTAAGGCTGTCTTTCATTTTCTGCTTGAAGTGCCTTTAGAGATGTTGGTATGTAATTTTTTCAGTTGTGTTTCATTCTGCTATTATTTAGAGTCCTACCTGAAGTCCTTTCTTGTGACTTTTTGTCTCAAGGTCTTTTTCCTTTCCTGTCCATTGGCATTGTTAATCTTGAAGAGAGCGTTCATACATTGTCTCCCAAGGGTGGAGGCAGCCATTTTCATTTCTCTCTCTCCATAGCTCAAGCAGCAGTTCAGGCAGCTCTGTTACTTCCCATCATAGTTGTTCTGGTGGGCTTTTATTACAGCTGTTTGATCTTTCTGTGGCTGTTGCTCTCTTGGTTTTCAGTTATCTTGGAGTTGAAAATGGCTTCAGTAAAAGATCTGTGGGAGAGAGGTGTTTGGAGATGAGGGGTTGCCAGCAAGTATTTATTTGGCTCGATATTTTTGTACAATCATGGTACCTGGGTAAGCATGTACAGATGAGCTGTCAGTACTTGATATGTATAAGAAAAACTCTTGCAATCTGTGAGCAAAAGTAAAACAAATGAACAATGCCAAAAAACAACCAACTAAAAAACTTGCAAAAAAAAGAAAAAAAAACCAAAAATAAACCCAAACCCTAGCCAATTAACTCCCTCTCCCCCCCCTCACCCCCCCCCCCCCCCCCCCAAAAAAAAAAAAAAAAAAAAAAAACCAAAACAAAACCCCACAACCCAGTCTGTACTGTGCTTGTACTCCAAGTGAACAGAAAATCTCCCTGACACTGGAAGGGCAGTTGTGTTGGTTACCAGGTTTAAAAGAAAAGTTCTGTGGTTAGCTGTTTTCTTTCCTTCTGAAAGCTTCATGGAGATGTTATGAAAACAAACCCAGGAAATGATAGATGTTCTTTGTGTCAAAAATGCCTTAATCCCTCTTAAGAAGGTTTAGAGTACTTAAGTAGGTGTAAACCAAGTTAACTAAACTTGTTTTTACATCTGTGTTGACTGCAGACCTTTTTGGATACATTCAGGCCAAGTTCTTAAGTCTGGTAGTTTATTAATGTACTGGATTACATTCAAGCTATCTAATTGTGTATTGTTAAATCAGTGTTTGCTTTTAGTGTGTTTTAAAAGCACCACTGCTGTTAAGACCTTACTTACCTAATTAAGTGCTGTTTTGTAACCTGAAAAGTTTCTATTTTGTCACTCATTCATTGAGCTGCCTCTGAAATGTATTTGGTGATGTGTTCAAAAAGAAAAAAAGTCAACCATGGCACTTTGCAGAAGGCATTGAATTAAATTGGTTGCTACTTGAAAAGGCTTCTCAGGAGATGCAGCCAAAGACAGAGAATGGGACAGAGTGAAAATCGGGTAGTCTTTCTTCTTCTGTCTGTATGCTGTAGAAATTGAAGTTGGCAATTTTTGAGACAGTTTTGTGCAAATACAGGTTCACAAGCTGTACAAATAGCATATGTTGCAATTAGTAGTAATTTAAAGTCATCTAGTTGCTGATGTTCACTAGGACATATAAGTACTAATCTTTGGTCTGAGGGGTTCGTTTAATGACTGTAGGTGTATTAAAATATAAGAGAACACATAGCAAGTGGCTTCTTGCTTTAACTTTAGATTATGTTGTGGTTGGTTGCCAGTGATTGTAACCCTGATGAGCATAACTCCCATCCCTTTCCTGGCCTACATCAAGTTCTGGACCTGAGTTGCTGGTCCCTGGAAAGATGTGGGCTCTGTCTGAAAGCAAGAGAAACAGGTCGGCAGGTAACCCCTGCTATCTCTAGAGCTATCTCTAGCTCTACTTTGCTACTGCATTCAGCACTCAAATTCCAGATGTTATATATGCAGATGGCCATACTGTTTGGAAGTGTTGGACTTAAAGTATCCTTCAGTATAGCAATGAATATTCAGGTTTAGAGTGGTGCAATTTTTTGGATACTGCAGTTCTTTGGATACTCTCTTCTGATGTGTTGACAATCAGGAGGGAGAACGCCTAATTCTGCGGTCTGAGGTTTGGGTTGAGATTTTATGGTCTATAATATGGAACTGTCCTTTTGTCATAAGCCACCGAGTTATTTTTATTTTCCTCACATGAAACTAGTGCCATAATGACACCAGTCCAGTACCATAATGTGGGCGGCAGTTGATTTTTGTCAGGTGATGATGTTTCCCTCAGGTACCTTGGCATCCTTGATGAGTTATTGCTTACTCCTGTAAGGATTAGGTAGCTGCTTGCACATGTATCTTTCCTTCCTGGTCTTCCCATGCTGAAAGATTTTAGAAGTGCTGTGGCAGAAAATGTTAACGAAAAAATAGTGACTTGTATCTACCAGATGAAGCAGTACTATTACAAAGGTCTGTGCTGTTTTTACATTAAGTTTAGCCTAATGGAAGGACAGATTTTCATGAGGACCCTGTGCCTTCTGACAATTGTATGTGGTTAGCTAAAAATGAGATTGTGCTCGTAGTTTGCTACATTAAATCAGATTTAAATGGGAGTCTTTGTAGCTCTTAACTGTGTGGATTAAGTTAAGAAATCCCGGAGCCCACTTCCTTGTTTAGGCTAAGTAAGCAGCAAGTGACCTCAGGGCACTTCTTCCCACTACAAGATGAGAAAATAGAAGATAGGGAGATAACGAGCTTGCTGCCTGCGCTTCAGAAGTCCCGGAGGCATTTGTAACTGCTGTTGCAAACCTCAAGAAACTCAGAGGCAAGTGGCTTAATTGCTGCTGCTTCTTTCCAATGTCTGCATAAATTCCAGTTCCAAACCTTTTAATTAACAGCAAGAATGTGTGATTCTGTTCACCAGAAGTTGTGATCTTTTTACTTTTGTAAGGACTGCTTTGTGAATTACTTGAGCTGAGGATTGCAAAATTAAATTAGTCTGCTGAAACACAGCAGTAGAGGCTGCCTTGAAAATTAGTATGCTACCAAACATTTGTAAATTTGAGGTTACTTAGAAATTGTGCATTTCATTGCAAGATTTCTCTAAACTTCTGTGTCTGAACATGCTTATTTGGAGTTGCTGATTGTGAGTGTGACGTGGTTAGTAATTTGATTCTATGAAATCATGATATGAGATTGTATCAACTGCTTTGTTAGACTGCCCTGAAGTCTAGAAGTCTTTGGTTTATCTCATTTATTCCAGCCCTTGGCACCTCTCCCCCAAGCACTGGAAGAACAACGCTTACAGAGGAGGCATTTATCTTCAATATTGCTTGAACACAGTGTCTACTAATGACTACTTACATGCACAGATGTGCCCTTACATCTTATTTTCAATTTAACTTGCATATTATGTAAGGTTATGAGGTCTCTTTTTAAAAACAAAACAAAAAGTGTATGGTCAGGTTTTTGGTGTTTCCACATGTATTTCAACAACGTTCTATTTTGTTTCTGGAAGAATGCCATGTAAAGCCATCTGACAAGGTAGGTCATAGCAACATTTGTAAGCAGCTTGCTGATGGTTGATATTCATTGACTGTAAATCTCTTGTTTGGCAACGTTTATGGACAGCTGTTGTGTAATTGATCTGAACTTTCTGGTTTAGAAGTTGATGAAGAGCACTTAGTGTGGCTGTGGTCTGTGACCAGCTATGAGAGTAGCCCTGGAAATCTTTTTTCTTTTTTGCTGTAAGTTGTTTTTGTTCTCCTTTATGTTAATCAACAGTTGTAGCCTGATCCTTGTGCCTGTCCCTAATAGTCATTTTCATTAAGATACACATTTTGGGATGTGTGCCTTGTTGAATGCTTTGATAACTTAATCCTGATCTCTGGATAAGTGTTCTTTATCTGAAGGTGTTTACAAGGTCTTTTTTTCTTTTGACAGCTGGGAAGGAGAAACCAAAAATGAACGCAGAAGAGCTACAGATAAAAAAGGTTAAGAAGAAAAAGAAAAAGAAACATAAAGAGAACGAGAAGAGGAAGCGTCCAAAAATGTACAGCAAATCCATTCAGACTATCTGCTCAGGACTGGTTTCTGATGTTGAGGATCAGGAAGCCAAAGGCATCATAGATGATCATCTTAAGGATTTCAATGGGAAAAATATGGATCCCAAGAAGGACTGTGAGTCCAAGATACCAGAGAACAGTGAGTTTCCATTTGTCTCGTTAAAGGAGCCACGGGTTCAAAATAAACTCAAAAGGTTGGACACATTGGAGTTCAAACAGCTGATTCATATTGAGCACCAGCCTAACGGAGGTGCATCAGTTATCCATGCCTACAGTAATGAACTCTCCCACTTATCTCCTGTGGAGATGGAGAGATTTGCAGAAGAGTTTGTGGGTCTGGTTTTTAGTGAAAATGAAAACTGTGCAGCTTACTATGTAATGGGTATTGTTCATGGGGCAGCTACATATTTACCTGACTTTTTAGACTACTTTTCATTTAATTTTCCCAATTCACCAGTGAAAATGGAGATTTTGGGAAAGAAAGATATAGAGACAACGACTATGTCAAATTTTCATGCTCAGGTAAGAGGTTATATATTTTACTTTCTAAAGTCATGTAATGGTTTCAAACAACTGTGAAATGGATTTTCTTAGAATACAGTCACCATTTAGCTGTGCTGAGTGGATGAAACAAGACTGGAAGCAAGGTTGTTCTTTGTTAGTTCTGCAGTGCTAAGGAGCTTATTAACTGAGGAGAAAAGTTGCAATTTGTGTGGGAGGGGAAATGTTTGCATGCACGTGGTCGTAGGTTTCTTTGGATTTGTCACTGTCTGAAGCCTAACTGAGTTTCTGAGGGCTAAAATGACTTAGCTGCAGCTCTCTGGGCTTCTAAACTGTAGCTTTTCTATATGAGCTTCTTCATAAAAACTGAAGTATTTTAATACATCAGAAAAACGTTACACGTAAAACCTTTGCAGGGAACAGTTAAGGAGCTTCATATGTAGTTTGAGACTTCTAAATCTGTTCATAAAGGAGAACTTGACAGTGGTTCATAGAGCTATTAATTTGATCCTTCCTGGTTGCGTTTGCCCTCAGTTAGTTGTATTCCCTTGAAAGCAGTTAAGCTGTGTGGCAAAATGGCAGGCATCTTCTGAATCAATTTCTTTCTGTTTTCATTTTCAGGGAGAGATGACTGTATAGTCTCATAGCAGTCACTACAGGTTAAACACCACCTTGCTATTTATAAACTTGCTGTAAATGATATGAATAGTCTGTATGCAACAGTAATGTATTTCAGGTCCTGTAAGTTTAGGAAAAAAAGTACTTTCCTAGATTGCAACCTTGGTAATGAGAGTATTGTGTAAAGCTGTTAGAGATAACCTGATACTATTATGAGGACACTTAGTCCAATTTTTCTGTCGGTATTGACTTTAGTTCACAGTTAACTGTTTAAGTTGCTTAGAAATAGATTCCTATTTGTGAATATTAAATGTTATTTGGGACACCTATTAACTATGTTAGCCTTATTTAGACTGTTATGAGGAGTTCAAATGTGAGTCACACTGTTTGATTTAAAAAGATACGCTTTTGTTTCTACTACATAAATATTTGTATGGAGCACTGCTGAAAAAAGTCATGCAGGTCACCTGCAAGTGTGTATAGAACTGAGTTGTTGCTGCAAGGGAATGCGTGCAGCCCTGGTTTAAAGAAAAGAAACAAACAAAAAACCCATCCACTGCCACACAAAGTGAATGTTCTGTAAATCCACTAAAATGTTGTGAGTTTCACCAACAAAGCAATGATTCTGTGTACACGATACATTATGGGAGCTCCCCAGAGCTGTTCTGTCTGATGCCATTTCACATGAGGAAGCTGGATCTGTGTATGTATTCTCTTGGGCAGCATTAATGGAAACATAACTGTGTGCTGTTATCCATCTTAAAGACATACTTAAGAAATGCCTGGACTTGATTTCTGTGAATTGCAATGGAACTGTTACTGGTTAATTTGATGTTACAACAGTAATATCCAATATCCACAGCTGAATCAGTTCTGTGGTCACTGCTTTTGAGATCGTTTCCCTCCTCTACTGTAAATGAAGGAAGAACAGAAAACGTAGCAGGTGAAAGAAGCTGAACTTTACATTGCAGCGTTTAAATCATTCATTGACTTTGTAGTCATCAAATCTACATTTCACTTGTCTAGAGGCTTAGTTCTGCTGTCTTCCTTTTGTTTTCTCTATTTTTCAGCAAGCTTTTGTAGCTTTTTATCACTTGTCAGGATTTGGTTGCGTGACAGACTGCTGGGCTCCTATTACAGTTTTGCTCGCATAAGAGGTGCTGTGTGTAAATGATGTGTATATGTGTACGCCAGACTTCTTCATGTGGTCTTTTACACAGCATTACTCGTATCTGGAATGCAGTGGTCAATACCTTGGTTGCCTAGCTATTGATTCTATTTTTCCTTACTGCTGTTATTTTAAAATCTTCTGTCTGCATACGTTCTCCATGTTACCAGGTGACTTGCTGCAGCTTAGATTTCCTTCGCTCAGAGTTTCTTTTCTGACTGGAGCCAGTATCAAAGGTTTTTGGGAAGGAGTTTGAGGGCATAGCAGTCATAGTGGTACTGTGCCACAGGGCTCACCTTCCACAGGTGTCAGAGGGCCTTTTCAGATCTGAGGGCTGTGAGTTGTCGTTTTTGACCTCTAGCTGTACTTCTCTTGCATGAATCTCACTTGTTAGTGTCCACCTCTTTTTTTCTTTTCAGTTTTCTGTGTCTTAATTTTAAAAAAAAGTACTAAATGATTACATAACCTGTTACTTTTTGGGTGCAGTTCGGCACTATTTTCCCTTTGTGCTGAATTTTTTGTTGAACTTGAAGAGGTTGTTGTTCTGTATTGCCTTGAAATTTTAAATGTAGTTTCTCTTCCTGCATTGCAAATGCTCTGTACTCGTGTGTTATGCGGTGCTCTGAGCTGCGTGTGCAAAGGTGAGTGCGTTTCTGATGCCCAGGTAGGAGCTCAGTGTGTCTGGTTTGCTTTGAATATCTGTCTCAACCTTCTTTAGTATTAAAAGTGTTTAATACTAATCTCAGCTATTGCACTTTTTAAACTAAAACACTGAAATGAGGTTGACATCAGTAGGTGAAATTCTTTGATTGTTTTTGAGACCTCTTTGTGATGTGTGTAACCATTCTGACAAACCTGACATTTATTTAGCAAATATATTTCGTATCACCAAAGTGGTATGAAAAGAATGGTCCAGAGAAGGAGGAATGAGTTAAGCCTGGAGCAGAAGTATTGGAGTGTTGTATCAGAGGTGAATTTAATTTTTTCTTCCTCTGCTGGATTCTTTCAGTACCACTCAGTGAGCTTCAACCACATTTTATCAATTCCTTTTTCCCCCGTGTCGGATAGAAGTGATGTATTTTCTCCTGTTGGGAGATGAGAAATGGGGTGAAGCTTGTGAGACAGCTGTAGTAGGTTTGAGTTGGGATTGGTTCTGTCTCATCAGAGTGAGCTGTTAAATTTTGGAGAGAAAGAAACTGGAGAGTTGTACGTCACTCATCTCAGGTCTGTACTTAAGCACTGCTAAGTAAGTTTTTTTTGTTGTTAATATAACAGTTCTTTTGTGAATCATTTCTTGATTGAGGCTTGATGACTGTAACTAGACAACATGGAATTAGCTTGGGTGTCCATCCCTGGATTCCTTTATCCCTGTAGACTGATAGCTGCATCATTTACCTGATAGCTTTGAATCTTGTCAAGTTCTTAGGAGCATTATTAAGAATGCTCCTGAACGATCAGCTTTTGCCACCTGCTTGGAGCTCATGTCACTTGAGATCAGCTTGTTAGTGCTGTCCAGGCACATTGCTTAACATTTTGAAGCTGTGATTGTGTCCTTGTGCTGGGCAGGTGCAGGCTTTGTATCTTGCTAGAATCTCAGAGCTCAGGCTTCCTGTTCAATTGTAGCAGTGCTTACTGGGTTGATTTTTTTATTTTTTTTCTTCCCCGCTCTTCAGCCTGGTTGGAGAAAAAGCATAATTTGTGCGGGTAGAAGAAACCCTGAGCAATACAAAACAGTTTCTGTGCTTCAAGGCAAGGCTTGACTGTGTTTGAAGCCTTATCTGACACATCCTTATCTGATGTGCTTGCTGAGATCTCCAGGTGATTCCACACTTCCCAAAGGAATCTGGTGAACAATCTTCTTTTCTTGTTTGTCCTCTTACCTTAATCCTCTCTCTATTGCTTTTATTCTTATCAGTAGTGGACAAGACAAGCACCACATGCCTCTCTTTTAGTGTTTTCCAAGTTTGACACCTTATATCCTGAACTGATGCACGCTTGCTGAGCCCTCTTTACGCTCTCTTCAGTCAATCCTTCTTGTTGATGTTGAATTTAAAAAGAAGACCAGTGTCTGGTATGTTGCTGTTGTAAAGGAGTATGAGAGGATTGCTTCAGGTGGCTCACAAATGATTGCTCTTGGTTGCTTACTCTTGCCTTTCAGAGCAATTTATGATCTGTCGTAGCAGCAGCTCTTGCAGAGTCAATTCTCTTTTCATTTCTATGTGCAATCAATTATGTGTAGATACAGCTGAGTATAGTTTTTGCTTTCATGCAACTTGAATTACATCCTGTGCATTTAGAGCCCTTTCGGAGATGTTTTGAACCTTTCCTGTAGCAGGCTTGGAGCTTTGTGTTACCTGCAGCTTTGGTAAGCATATGCTGTTCAAAGGAAAAATCCTTGGTGAGTATCACAGTGCAGGGCCTTTCATATTGATATTGTTGTGATGAAATGGTTCCACTGTTTGCAGTTGCTAGATTCTATTTATATCCTTTGAGAATGCCTATACTATCATTGAAGGAAAGGTTTGTTTTTGTTTGGCTTCATTGTTCTTTGACTTATTCATACTTTCAGTTTTTGCCATTTTATTTTTTAGGCTGAAACACTTAGCTTATTTCCCCCCTGCCCCCAGGTGCATCTAGGATAAGTGTTTGTGTCCTGCTTCTCTCACCACCTGTTTATACAAGGTTGTGTGTTTATCTTACACCTTGAAGAACGTGTTTTGAGTTCTCACTGAATTGCGGCAGCTTGCTTTCTGCATTGGCTGCCTGCTTTGTTACTGTAGGGGAGGTGAGGATGATCATCCTGAAGCCCATCTGATTTGGGACAAGCACTGTATGTTTTGCACCATTTGAAGTGTGGTTGGATAGGCTGTCAGAGCTTGCCTAGTACCTCTTGCTGCTGAAAGAGGATGTGCTTGTTCTTGCTTCCAGCTGTGTGTCCTTGTGCCAAGCTGTGGCGTTTCTCAGAGCTCATGTGAGCCTATTTGGTTTGTTAATCCAGCTGAAAATTTTGTCTGCTCCCATATGATTGGTTTTAGTTCATGGTACCAGAGGGACAAGTGCAGGACTACACGGTCAATCCCATCCTGTGACAGCAAGCGATTTACTGCTTCAGAGATGGAACTTGACCCCTTGCACCTTCGGAAGTCTCATCTTCCTGTGTTAATTGGAGTAGATGTGGGGTATTTGGGTCGTGTAAAGAACAGTAAGTGTGCGAGAGGAAGGAATGCAATGGTGATGATGCTGATGTTCATGTAGTCACTTCTCAGGTCAGTGGTCATCCTTTCTTTCTGACAGTTCTGGGAATCTTTATCTTTTATTTTTCTTTCCCATCCTCCTCTTTTAGCAGGTTTATCTTTGGAGAGATTTTCCTGATGTTCACTCTTCCTGATTTGTCAAATCCTGCTTGCTTTAAACATACTTTTTGTCTGCTCTCCTACTTGAGGGGACTTGCTGAAAACTTTTTTTTTTCCCCCCACGAAAATCTGAAGTGTTTGCATGCTATTTCATTTTCTTATCACTAAAGATTTGTCTGTTTTCATATATTGTGGTGTTTGCCTTGATTCAGTGGTCAGAGGAATTCTTTATACGTTATATGCATCATATCAGTTGTTTTAGCTTTCACTTTAGGTAGAATTCACCTTGCTTTTAATCTTTCTGAATGTTTGGTTAAAGCTGTAAAGGTTATGAATAGATGCTTGCTGTTACACAAGTTTCCCCATAATAAGGTTTTTTTTCCTCTTAGGTGATGACAAAATAGAATTTTTAGCTTGTTAAAACACGTTGTACCATTGTGTGTTTATCTCATAATGTGTAGGATTCTGCAGGAGACTTTTTAAATGGATGGTGGCAGCCTACTGTCTTCAAAGCAGAACTGTTTATTATTTACTGTTTAACTTTATTAAATGGTGTTGAACAGAGAATCAGTTCACATGGAATGACATCAGAAGCCTGCATTATTTGTTTTGCATGTAAAAGTTACCTTTCAAGATTGCTTGTGAACAGTGTTACCAACAGATACCAAATGAGTTTTATGTTGCTTGTTCTCGTTGGGTTATTTTGTATTGAGGGAAAAACAAACTAAACAAAACTGTCAAGGTATGCATTGGAAACATGGAAAGAATCTGAGACTGAATGTTGTCAAAGCTCTTCTTGAGTTAGAGTTGTGTAATAGCTACTTTGGCTTGGCAAGATTGTTTTATGTGAAAGTTGGAATTCTTTGTCAACTATTGCACTGGTTTTTGTGTCAGTGGAATACAGAATATTAGGTTATCTTGCTTCTAAATAGTTGGACTATCTGTCCTTTGTTGTTTGAGGATTTCAGCTGTGATGTGAATGAAGTATGTGAAGTGATAGTATTGACTGCAGTCATAAAAGGACACTGGTGGAACTGTACTGTGATAAAAATGCTGGGATGTGTCTCCTGAAACTTCTGTTCAGAAAGAGGCATACCGTGTGTGCGGAGTGAGGACGTGGGTGATCATCTCTGTCTGTGGCACAGCTAAAGGAGGAGGTTGAAGGATTAGGGAGCATGATGGAGTGAGACAGAGATAATGAGTGGAGCTGCTTCCTGCTATCCCTGCAAGAAAAGCACTGGGGGATGCTCTGCAAGTAGTGGTGGATTTCCTACTCTCTTGTCATCGGACAGGAGGAGGGGGCTTAAGAGATGGGGAGGAGTGGAAACGGGTCTCTGCTTGGGGTGGCAGGGAAGCCCTCTCCCTGCCTGGCTTGCCTTCCCAGGTGCCCTTACACAGTAGGTCTGAGGCTATGCAGTGTGAAGGACAGCTCAGTGAGGATGTTGAAGAAGATCCATTCAGAGAGTTGTCTGGGGCTTGTCAGCCAGTCAAGACTGCCAGTGCCTGGAACGAAAGAAGGGTGGTTGTCATACATGCCTCCCTCTGAAGGGAACGGAGTGCCAAATAAGCTAACCAGACCCACAGGGGAAGTCTGCTGTCTCCCTGGGGCCTGGGTCAGGGACATTGCTAGGAAGCTCCCTGGTCTGGCATGGCCCTCTGGTTATTACCTATTTCTGGTAGTTGGCAGAAGTGAAGTCATGTGGAGAAGCCTGAGGGCTCTTAACTGGGTCCTTAGAGCTGAAACTCTAGTGGAAAAAAGAGTGTTTACCATATCTGGAAGGAAGGCTAGCCAACTCAGGAAGAGTACAAAGATGTTGCTAGGGTATGCAGAAGGGATATTAGAAAAACAGTCACAGAATGAATTATAGAATCATAGAATGGCCTGGGTTGAAAAGGACCTTGAAGATCATATAATTTCAACCCCCTGCTATGTGCAGGGTCACCAACCACTGGACCAGGCTGCCCAGAGCCATGTCCAGCCTGGCCTTGAATGCCTCCAGGGATGGGGCATCCACAACCTCCTTGGGCAACCTGTTCCAGAAGTTCAACAAAGACTTATCTGGCTACCACTGTTAAAGATAATTGAAAATGTTTTTACAAGTACATTAACAACAGGAAGAGGACCAAGGAGAATCTCCATCATTTGTTGGCTGTGACAAGGGACATTACCACTAAGGCTGAGGTTCTCAATGCCTTCTTTAATAGTTAGACCAGTTATCTTCAGAGTACTCAGCCCATGCCCTTAGTCTAGAGTTCAGGATGCTACAGTCCTGCAGTTGGGCTAAATGGTCTTCAAAGGTCTTTGAACTTTTCTGTTCTAATCCAGTCATGGGAAAGAGATGAGATAGCAGATTCTCAAGAGCAGCTGAAAGTCTTTGTGTGCTTGCTTGCAGCTCTGAACCACGGAGCATGTGTGCTGCTGCAGGAAGATGTGGAAGAGAGTGAAGAGCTAGAGCTACTTCAGAAGACAGTGTTTACTGACAGCATCTGTCTCCATTGGCAGAATTTGTGTTCTTTCTGGCCAGGCATTCATAGTTATGGCCTACCTCTTAAATCTCTTTCTTAACATAAAAATAAATAGAATTCAAGGATGTTAATGCAAGTGCCAACTCAGTGTCCTGACCTAGAGTGGCAGAATGCTAAGCTACTTACACCAGTGGAAGACCCATCTGCTTGCATGTTAGGTTTATCAGTAAACTGTGGTTGATTCATTTATAGTTGTCTGTACTTTCAGGAAGTGTTGTTTGGGTGCTGCAGAATGGATCTGTCCAGTAAGCCATGAATGAAAAGCGTGTATGCCTTACCTATCCAAGTGCCTTCGTCCCGTGAGTCCTGCCACTTAGTGTCAGTGCAGACAGCTGAGGACTGACTGATGGAGATTCAACAGAAATGAGTATTTGCTGTTGTTTCGTAACAAAATCAGCAGTGTCATGCAAGAGAGCTGCAGGAATGTATAGTTAAGGATTTGGGGAATAGGGGAATGCTGCTCTTCTCAATACAGCTGTCATGGTTTGCCGTCACATTAACTCACACATTCTGTAGAGTCGTACTGTTTGTCAGTCCTCTGTGGCCTGGGTGTGTGTGACTGAGTTGATTGGAAGAGGGTTTGGCTCTCAGTTTCTGAAAGGCATCTTATCAGTGTAGCTTCTAAGGAGGACACAATATTGTTCTGCGTTGTATGCTTAATCTTTTCTGGAGTTGCTGCTAATTATCCTCTGCCCTACTGTAATTAATAGGAATTTTAATAGTCTGTTTTGGGTGAGGACTATAATTAAGCTGTGCTTCATTGTTTTCACTGCACTCTTTTTGCTTCGTTGCTTTGGATGCAGAATGCGTAGAGATGCAGTACAAAAGAAATGCTGTACTTGTTTGCAGTAATCCATCTGCTCTTCCCTCTGTTTTGATCTTGGTCATATTTCATCTGATAATACTGCTGTGTTGTTTAGCCTGTTAAATAGGAAACCAGAAGGGGAAGTGATCCTGATCAGTCTTGTGCTTAAGTGTTTTATTCATGTAACAAGACAGATAAGATTACTTAAAAACAGAACAACCTAACAACCTTCATGCTGTGTTTCTGTTTGAGTTTTAAAAAGTTGTTGGTTTTTTTTTTTTTTTTTTTGCAAGGGGTGAATGCTGTGGCCTTTAGAGTGGGAGGAGAGTGGAAGAAGTCTTAGCGTACGAAAAATAAAGGAGTGGTTGTCATTCTCTCTTTTCCTGTACCAGCCCTTTGTGGGCCTTCACTTCACTGTGGAGTTAGTCCAGTTAATGGACTCACAGAGTGGCTGTGTGGGAGAGGATGGTTAGCTGAGGAACTACACAGAGTGTGATGATCTGTAACTCAGGATGCTGCATAACTTACAGAAAAAGTAAAAATTTGGCTAGACTTAAGTATGCAGATCAGGTAATCAAGGTAAGAACATTTAGTTATTACTTAATGGTTGGGTTGTACTTGAATAGTCTTTCACAGTTACTGCTTTCAGAATATAGTTTTCTTGAAAGACAACATTCACTCAATCTTGCATTCAGACTTGAATTATAGGAAGTACAATTGTTATACATCTTTAATGGGATCTTCTGTCTTTGCTGACTTTGTAGTAATTGAATTCTTAATAATCTTAGGTATAATGAGAGTTTATGTAGGACTTGCTATCAATCAGAAAATGTAAACACAGATTAAAAGTGCTCATTGAATGTGGACTTGGAGTGATAACGACCTCAGTGTAACTTTAACTGTCATATTCTACTTATAGGTAAAAAGAACATACTCTCATGGTACGTATAGAGCTGGCCCAATGAGACAGATCAGCCTGGTTGGAGCAGTTGATGAGGAAGTGGGGGATTACTTTCCTGAATTCCTTGATATGTTGGAAGAATCACCCTTCTTAAAAGTAAGGACAGAAGGGAGTGGGGTGGGTGAAGGGGGACGGTGCTCTGGTAGTGTAAAATCAAGTGACTGTGCTATGATGTTCGCTTAGGTAATTGAGTTGCTTAATAAGCATGTTCACTCTGACAGATAAAGACTGCTTTAAGTGTATGTATATATATATACATATATATATATATATAAATTCACTTCAAAATTGTGCCTTGTATTTCCCATTAGTGTACGCTGCCATGGGGAACACTTTCTAGTTTAAAATTAGAGAGTCGTAAAGACAGCGATGATGGTCCCATTATGTGGGTACGTCCAGGAGAGCAGATGATCCCTGTGGCTGACATGCCAAAGTCACCTTTCAAAAGGAAGAGGTATGTTGATGCATTTTGTTTGATAAGTGTTTGGTTAGTATTCATTCTTTGAAAATTCATTTTACTTCTAACATTTTGCTGGCTTATATGTTACTTTAATGTAAATTGTTGAAAGTGTTCATCTCAAAAGATACAATTTTAAGTTGCTTTGCCTTACAAGAGTAGTTTTGATTGGTGATAATGTGTTTTTTGTTTATTTTCAAAATATTTTTATTGTTTACTGTCTGGCCAAGGGCACTGCTGGTTCTCTCAAGAGTTTTAAGAAGAATTTAAGGTTACCATCTGAATATTCCTCATGCAATGAATTTACAGTATAGTGAGGTGAAAACTGCAGGGAAATGTAAATAGGCATACAGCTATTGATATATGCCTGGAGACTGGTGGTGACATTCCTCTTCTTAAGTGTGATTGGATTTTTAAAGACCTCAAAGGACAGGGGCTTCTCTCTCATCTGAAAGATGACGTGTCCAGCCTTAAATCCTGTTTCTAAGTTTTCTTCTAGTACTGGGTATAAGCACTAGCTTGAGAGTGAGAATATCTGCTGCAGAAATTGAAAATTATATTGTGCCTTTGGAGCACTCTTCTTCAGGATTCAGGTACATAAAGGAAGCAGACAAGGAATGTTTGCAGGGTCACATACCTCAGGAATGTACTGTGAAGGGGATACAGGTAAAGTCTGAGTCTATCTGGAGATGAATTTGGTAAGGTGTAAAGAATGTGAAGGGCAACAAGAGGGACTTATGAAGGTGTATGTGCAGCAAGAGAGATGGATAGGGAAAATTTAGGTAATCTGCTGAATGGGGCAGAGGTCATAGAGAAACGAAGAGCAAGTTACTCACTGCTCCCTTTGTGCTACTCTTCACTGGTAGGTTTAGTCTGCAGTATTTCCAGGTCTAGAAGACAATTGGAGGGCTGGAATGAGGACTGTTTGCCTTCAGTGGAGGTAGATTGGATTAAGGAATGTTTTAAACAGATGAGATATGCAGAAGCACCTGGAGCCTGGCAAGATGCACCCAGAAGTGCTGCAGGAATTGGTCATATTGCAAGGCTGCTCTTGATTGTCTTTGAAAGGTTGTGGCGATTGGCCAATGTTCTTGAGAACTGGAAGAAAGCAGATAGCACTCTAATGTTTCAGAAGAGCAAGGAGCTGGACCTGGGAGCTACAGGCCAGTCAACCTTGCCTTGACCCTGGGAAGAATGCGACTTTGAAACATGAGGGACAGTAATAGATATTGGGTATAGCTAGCATCAGTTGGTAAATGGGAAATGGTGCCTTATCAACCTGATGGTCTTCCTAATGACAGAGAGTAGAGAGGCAGGTGCTGATCTCTTTGAAGACACCAGTGAGAATCTAAGGAGTGGCATGGTGTTGTGTCAGAGGGTCAAACTGGGGAGTAGGAAAAAGTTCTTCACAGGAAGGTGGTCAGGCCCTGGCATGGATTCTGTAGGGCTGGAGTCGTGGTACCAAATTGCCAGAGATCAGGAAGCATTTGAACTATGCTCTCAGACACAGGGTTGGAATTTAGACTTGATTCTTACAGATCCCTTCCAACTCCGTTTATTCTGTGAATCCATTCTAATCTACAACTAAATGATTGGCATAATGGATGAGGGTATTGCTAGAGTTGTTGTTTATCTTGGCTTTAGGAAGATTGGACACCTGTCTGCCTAACCTAACTTCCTAACACTCAAATTAATGAAGGACAAGCTAGACAGATGAAGAATGAAATGAATCAAGAATTGGCTTAATTTCTGTGCTCAAAGGGTTGTGATCAGCAGCTCAAAGTCTAGTTGCAGGGTAGTCTTTGTTCAATATTCCCATTAATGATGGGACATCAGCAAGTCTGCAGACAATATAGAATTGGAAGGAGTGATTGATGCACGAGAGGGTTGTGCTGCTAAGCCAGAGGACTTGACAGGCCAGGTCTTTTGAGGTCAGCAGAGAGAAGTTTGGGATCTTGTACCTATGAGGAAGTGTGCATCAGTTCAGGCTGGAGACTGATTGGCTGAAAAGCAGCCTGATAGATGAATACTTGCCAGTCTTCATGAATGACAAACTGTAAGCTGTCACTGTGCCTCTGTAACAAAGCAGGTCAGCAGCTGTTTGGACGGGATTATGAAGAGTACTGTCAGCATGCTGATGGAGATCATTCTTCTCCCTTACTGGTGTAACACATCCAGAGTGTTTGTTGTGCCCTTGTCTGGGCTCACCAGTCCAAGGCAGACCTGGGCATACTGAAGCAGATCTGGTGATATGCAAGTTGGTTACTGGAAGAGCTGGGATTTAGCCTTGTGAAGGGAAGGCTCAGCAGTGTTGTAGAAGCATTTGATAGGAGAGAGAAAAAGAGGAGAATCACGCTTTTTCAGCAGTGCCTGGTGACATGAGGGAGTGGGCACAGGCTACGTTACAAGAAATTTCATTTAAAACAATAGCAACAGAAGCAAACCCCCTTTACTGTATGGGCAGTTGATCCCTAAAAGAGGTTCTTCAGAGCTTGTGCAGTCTCTGCCTTCAGAGATGCTCAGAACTTGACAGGTGACAGCCCTGAGCAACCTGCTGTGGTTGTGCATGGGAAGGTAGACCACATGCTCTCTAGATGTCATGTGCAACCTGGCATTCTAAGTAGCTCTTGAAAAAATGTTTTGTGGCACGCAGCACAGGCATAGGCTGGATACAGGAAAAGGTCTTGCGTCTCTGTTCACCACTGTGTTGTGTCCTCCATGCTCATTAAACTCCGAAGAAATCTTTCTGCTTTTCATTCTTAGTTTTGTAGTGTGGAATTAAATATGCATGCATGTTTTCTGACAGTTCAGTGGAAACACAAATGGTAAAAACTGCTTGAAGAATGGTTGTGGTGTTTATCAAACTGTTGCACACACTGTGAGCTGGTGGAAGATGAATGCTTTTATAGCATGGCTCAGGCAAGGTTGAAGCTCAGGCTTAACCTTAAATATGAAACTCCTGGGTGCTTTGTGAGGGTGTGTAGATGAGAGAGGCTGAGTCATCAAGGCCTTTTAATGTACTTAGGAACCTGACAAATTATTTTGTTTGCATCAGTATTCTGATTTTTGCTTAGCTCGTTACGTATTTTGTTTGCTGTAAGGGTTACTGTCTTTCTCATTGGACTGTATAGTCTCACCATCCTGTTGGCTGTGGATAGAAATCAGACAATTAAGGGAAATTTCTGTATCACCAGTACTATTTTTGTTCTACAGAACTACCAATGAAATAAAAAACTTGCAGTACCTACCTCGAACCAGTGAACCACGTGAAATGCTATTTGAAGACCGGACACGAGCCCATGCAGATCACATAGGACAAGGTTTTGAACGACAGACTACAGCTGCTGTGGGAGTGCTGAAGGCTGTGCACTGTGGAGAGTGGTATGTGTTGACTGACTTACTCAGCTGGGCGTCTGGAAAATATTTACCTCAATTTCCATTTATTATCAAAAGACTGAGCACTGAATAGGCTAATCTAGCATTGGAGGTATTTAAATAATACTTTGTAGATAACTGGATTTTTTTCTATCTCTCTTTGCACCAACTGTGCTTGTCTGCCCTTTAAAAGACTGCATACAGCTTGCAGCGTGGCCGAAACTGGAAAGGTGCCCTGCAGCAGCAGTTTAGTAGCTATGATTGAATTGCTGTAATGAAGTTGATGTTGGATGTAAAAAATTCTTCACACTTTTGTTTTAGTTTAAATAATGTGTGCACGTTGAGCTGAATTTCTGCTTCATAGGTGCAGGTGAAGGTGTTTTGGCAATTCTGTGTGTTGTCTGGATATGAGCAAAAGTTTTGTTTTTGCTTTAAAGTCATGGCTGCTGTAACTCTGACTCGTTAATGGTAGATTGCATAAGAAGAATCTTCTTGGAGTCTGTGTGATGGTCTTGAGTGTCTGTCTGAAATTCCCACGTGTCATTCAGGAAATGAATTTATCTTGTTAGAAGCTGTTTACATTTTGACTGAATAAAGAAACCCCTAAAGCCCGTGGGCTCTGTCGCCCAGAACAAAGAATCTTTGTTTCAGGAACTTCTGACCTTGGTTTGGGGGAATGACCTTAGTTTTGGAGGTTACCTTTTGTATACTTAAATAGAACCACCTTTTGCTCTTTCTGTCTTCCTGCCCAGAATTTCCTTTGGATGAGATAATGCAAATTTATGTTACAGTGCAAGAGTTAATTGAGATAGGAAATAATTGCCCCTGGGGGAGAACTAGATTGCTTAGAAGTGAACGTGTTCTTATTTCTGGCTCTGAGATTTTATGATTTACTTCTCATCAGGCTCATGACAGCTGGAGCTTCAAAATACCAGCTTGTTTTGGTTGTGTGAAGCTGGAGTGAATTAAGATTGAGGAGTGGTAGTAGAGCAAGAGTTGAGCTACTGCGTAAATCTGAGGGAGGTGTGATTGAGGGAAGGGGGGAGAGAGCATTGTCAAAGCTTTATCAAGGAAAATGTGAGAAAACAAACTCGTCCCTAGAACCTGGGAAGAGTTTCATTTGATTTAAACTTATCCAGGAACTTCCTATCCTCACCCTGTCCCTCCATAATAAGATCATCCCCTCCTGGATATCATTACGTTTTCATTTATATTCTACAAGTAAGTTTTCCCACCTTTTATGCTTTTCAGAATGAAACCACCATCTTCTAGGTTGGAGCTTGTGGAAAAGAGAATCTGTCCAACCTCCATTAAAATTCCTGTTAAACTTATTTATATGTAAATTGAGAAGTGATCTGGAGATAGCCAGATCTACCAATCAGACTTCAGCCTAAGGGAGAGGAAGAAAGAATGAGCATTTCGCTTCAGCATAGAGACTGAAAATGTATCTTTTAATGCGGGGAAAAAAATTGGAATTGATATATGTAATAAATTGCCTCTTACTGCAAGAATGATATTGAGGCCCTGGAGGTGGAGGGCAATGAAGCTGTGAGGGGTCTGCAGCACTGGTTTGTCAGGAGCGACTGAGGGAACTGGTTCATTATGGAGGAGGCTCAGGGATGTCCTCATTACTCTCTACAACTGCCTGAAAGGAGATTGTGGTGGGGTGGAGCTCGGCTGCTTCTCCCACGTAACTATCGATAGGATGAGAGGGAATGGCCTCAGGTTGTACCAGGGAAGATTCAGATTGGATATTGGGAAATTCCTCTTCTCTGACAGAGTGGTGAGGCAGGGGCACAGACTGCCCAGGGAGGTGGTGGAGTCACCGTCCCCGGAGGTGTTGGAGAAACGTTGAGATGTGGCACTGAGGGCCATGGGTTGGTGGGGAATGTTGGTGATGGGTGGATGGTTGGACTGGATGATCTCTGGGGTCTTTTCCAGCCTTGGTGATTCCGTGATTCTCTGTAGAGGAGAGAAAAATATAACACAATTGATGGAATAAAAATGATTTATTTCAAGCTACATTTGACCTCTGTGACAACTTCTTTCCCTTTCTACCTGTCAGTACAGTTTTGAGAAGGTACCATGCTGTATTTATAAGCCCTGTTTAGTTTCTTTTGTATAATGAGACATTACTGCAACACATTAAAGTAATTTCAGCTATTACCTTTACCATGGCTCTTAAACTGTGAGGGGTTTTATACTGAACAAAGCAATATGTGTGGAAATCTTGAAAACTGTATTTGACAACAAAAGTAAAACTTGGAGCTATGCCAGGAGTGAGGAGGGCACAGTGGAAATAAAAGCACACGTAACAAGAAGATACCATATATTAACATATTTTCTTTCTCGTGAGGGGAAAATAAAGAAATTCGTAGACTTGCTGAACTGAGTGGTTAGTTTGTATTCAGTGTAAGAGTGAGTAGAGCACAGAAAGATAGCTGCTTGGTGCTTGTAGGGCAGCATGCCTAGAAAAGCACTTAAAAGATAAGAAATTGCTTTCCTCAGCTGCTGAATTGTTTGGGAATTGCTGGCTGTGGTTGTGATGCTAATCTTGGGTTTTGTGGTCAGAGGGTACTGAAGAAGAATCATGCTTTATGTGCAGCAAACTAGTAGGGGTGCTGTGCAGGCTTATTGGTACTTCTTGGGCAAAATGTATCTGTGTTAGTATTGAAGGGACTCCTCTATACCTACAGCTGAATGTTTATATGGACAGCTTATCTTACCTTGAAGAATTTTGTTTGTGACTGTGCTTGCCAACAACTTGGAGAAACAATAAACTTAATGTATCCTTATCAGCTTTATGAAGGAATTGTGCTGTTAGGAGATTGAAATTTTTTCTTTCTCTGTGGGGCAGCAACATCGTTTTCTCCTGCAAATCATTAGGACTGTAAAACTGTTGTTACTGCCCAAGTGATAAAAGTGGTAATTACATGTCTGGCCTACTTGGGTATTTTTAAAGGATTTAAGCAGGAAGCCTTGCAATCCTTTGTGCTCCTGGTCTAACTATAGAAGTAGTAGTGTGGTAGCTGACACAGTGGCCAGGGCATCTCATAGTTTGGATTGAAAATCTCTTTGGACATCTAAGTGAACTGTTTCCTGAGCATTTCACTTGCTTCAGATTGTACAAAATAGAATATCCGAGTTGCTTTGCTAATAATCATGTTTGCAAATGCAGAATAAAAAATTCCCTGGCAATTTTCTGTGTTTACAGAAGAATGCCACGTTCTGTGGTATGATTGCAGTACAGAGTTGGTAACCATTTTGTTGCTTGTGTGTAGAGGTAGGGAGAAAAGTCATGACTAAAAAAACCACTTACTGTCCTGTGTCCTGACATAATGCTTAAAGCACTGAGTGAACACTGCTGTGAGAACTTGGCTTTGGGCTGAAATCCTTTTTATTCTCTGTGTATTCCCTGATTATTCTCTGTATGTATGTCTGAGTTAAGAGTTACTTACTTTACAAATGACATTAGCTCCAAATGCAGATACATGTCTTCCCTGATGTAAACTGTACTAAATGTCTTTAAAAGATGAAAATGTAACTGTATATCTGACATAAAAAGTAGATTCACGCAGCAGGTATTTTCATGCTGTTGATTAGAGCTGGTTCTTCTAAGCTTTTTGCTTTCAGTGCTGAAAACCTCTTCAGGAGGATATAGAAATGGAGGGTATAGAAACAAATGGAGGGAGATGTTTCTATCTTCATAAAACTGGGAGTACAATATGTGATGTAAAAATTTCCCTGTAGTTAAACAGCTTAAACTGTTTTTTTTTTTTTTTCTTTTTTTTTCCTTTGTTGAGGTTATGACCTGAATCAAATGTATGCATCTCTTCAGTTTGAGAAGCCCAATAAACTTTGCATCACTGCCTGCTTCTTAGGACAAAACCAGTACCATATGTATGCAAAAACCACGAACAGTTATCTTCTTGTGCTTTGAAAACATGGTCAGCAATCTATGTGGTGTGCTCAGAAATGCATGGATCTGTTCTGCCTGAGGGAACAGATCCCACTTGTGGCCCAGCTGGGAGGAGGGGGGCACCCAGCTCCCCAGGGACATGCGGCCGCTGTGCTGACCCTGCATGGCAGCCATATGCAAAGGGCATCTCATCAACAGATGTTTCTTTACTGGGGGGAGGAGGGGGAAAAAAATCCCTCAAAACCACATGCAAATCTTAGCTTTATGTAGAAGAACTGAATTTTATTTTTAGATTGGGAAGTGGTAAGGATTGTAGCTGTTGTGGCATTTGTTACTTAATTCTAGATAATTCCTTTGGAGACATTATTGTATAAATGGTGCTTCTTTCAGAGAAGTGCTGTGGGACAAGAGGTGATTTCCTGTAACAGTTTGAATACTCAGAGAAGCCATAATTCAGATCTTGCTCCTCTGTAGCTGTCTAGTTAGTGCAAGCACCAGTGTATTTTTCAGGGGATGCTGTGAAGGATGCTGGTGCTTGCTGCTCACTGGTGTTGTGGCAGATAATTAGAACCAGCTTTATTCTCAAGTCTGAACAGGGTCTGTGAGGCTCAGATACCAAGCAGTGCTTGCAGCAGTCTCACTGGTGTTACGGTGTGCTTTGAGGTACCTGATGGGTGTAACGCACTAAAAAGTGTTGGCAGAGTAACCCTGACATCTCTGGGCCACCTGTCTTTGCGAGGCAGATGGAGGTCAGTAAAAGTATGGAGCTTTGATTTTTTTTCACTGCTTCTTATGTTAGCACTTGTTTAAAAAATGAAAAACTAAGATAATTCATTTAATCAGCGTCATGAATTGAACTCATGATTGAGAACAAGCCAGTTTAGTCAGCTTGTATTCTCTGAAATGTGGTCTGTGTTAGAATTGCTGAGTTTGTGTTTAGATGATTTCCTTTATCCTTTGTTTGCAGATTTCCTTTATTATTCTCTTTACCATATTAGTTTCAGCCTCTGACTGTGCAATTCTTGCCTTCCTGTAGGTCTGAGCAGCCTCGTATAACCAAAGATGTAATTTGTTTTCATGCTGAGGATTTCTTAGAGGTAGTTCAGCGCATGCAGTTGGACTTGCATGAGCCTCCACTCTCACAGGTAAGCACACTGTGAACCATTCATTAATTGTCCTCTGCAAGTGCTCAAAGTTTTCACCCTTAATTTTTTTTCTTTTTTTCCTTTTGTCCTTCCAGTGTGTCCAGTGGGTTGACGATGCAAAACTGAATCAGCTGCGAAGGGAAGGCATTCGATATGCCAGAATTCAGTTGTTTGATAATGACATCTATTTTATCCCGAGGAATGTTGTGCACCAGTTCAAAACAGTTTCAGCGGTGTGCAGCTTGGCGTGGCACATCCGGCTCAAGCTGTATCATTCCGAAGAAGAAGCTTCTCAAAACGCAAGCACTCTCGAAGCAGGGACCTCTGCAGACCCCAAGTCTTCGGTTATGGGACTTCAGACTGACAGCAGGATTTGTACAATAAGCAGAAATACCTCCGAAGACGCCAAACTTTCAGACGTTCTGCAGCAGGAATTTGTGCCGGTAAAACACGAACCTATTGCATCTCACCGAATTAAAGAAGAACCCATGAATGTTGATCTTGCTGAAAAGACTGTGGCGCCCCATGACAGCAGGGGCCAGAATGTTCAGACTAGATTGGATCAGGTTGAATTGACGGCGTTTAAGTTGGAAACGGGTTCCAAATTTGAACCTGGCAGCAAGGACTTACAAGGCAAGTTGTGCCCCGGCAGTCACGTACATCCGGATGACACGAGACAACATAGTTCATATCCAAAACTGCATGGACAAAGAGAGGATGATTTTTTGTGCTAAATTTGTATATATTGTTTTAAATTCCTTTTTAAACTTAATGATGTAATAATGTAAAGATTCATAAGTTCTGTGAGGCAAGTTTGTGACTTGCCTTCGCATCTGTTACAGAAGATAGTTATGTAGCTTTGTAACATTCCTCAGTGCCTGTCCATAACTGTGAAGTATCAAAGCACTTAGGGCCAGATGCACTGTAAACACTGCAGGTTTAACATAAAGAAGTCTTTAAATAATTTTGAGTTGTAGGTTTTAGAGTAGAGCTGACATTTAACATATATATTTTTTGTAAGATGAGCCAGAATTCTTTTTGACAATTCCAGGCTTTTCCATAGAGCTTATTTATACCAATTTTTTCATTTTAAATGTGTCAGCACTGTAGTGTAAATATCTTTTTTAAAAATCTTTTTAGTGTGATTTATACTGAAATGTGAGCCACTTAATAAAGGTTCATAATAACAGATTGGTTTTATTTTTGGGTCTGCAAAAAATAATTCAGTTAAACTGCCTCTGTCAATGGTTCTGTTTCTACCTGCACTAAGGCATAGGATGCTCTCACTCCGTTGCGGAGCGAGGAGCTGCAGCAAACTGAGGTAGAGCGGAGGCATTCTTTGTCAGCCAAGACTAAGTCAGAATGCAAAATCAGCCCTCCCTGCACAGCTGCTCATTAAAGGCGCTCTCCGAATCCTGTCATCAGTTGTTGATGTGGAACAGAGACAAACGTTACCCGCAGCCTTTCTGTGTCAGGAGGTTGGGCACCAGTGGGCTCCAGGAGTGCTGCCGGCATCTGTGTAGCTGAGCTGGGCAGGGTGGCAAACTCCTTTTGTGCTCATCTTCTACCCCTGCGCAGCCACAATTCATATATTGCTTTCCACGTTTTAAAAACAAAGCTCATATCAGTTATCTGACTAAATTAGAACAAAGAATGTTTTTAAATGGTTACTCAAACTGAAGCCAATATAGCTTGAGTGGCGGCCTGATGCTCACGGAGGCAAATTTGATTAAGATTGCTCCATGTGCTGATAGTGCAAGGCAGTACAGATAGACTGGCCAGTGTGTCTGGTAGGAAGATTCCTCGAGTCCCAGGTTAGAAGTAACAATTTCTTCATCAGGAAAATGATAGCAGTTTCCAAGTTTGACTGTTCACCTCTTTCTACTCTGTGGAACTCCGTAGTTTTCCCAACCTGTGTTCTGAGAGAAGAGGTTACAAGGCTAGCTAGCGTCTGATGTGGTAATGGCAAACACTGTAATTTAACTTATTTGTGTGTAACGTGTTGCTGTGTAGTACAAACACATCTGAACGCTGTTTCTTTTTCAGGTAGCTACAAACAGCAGTAACCTGCCCTGCAGCCTGTCCTTCAACTAAATATTTAAAACTTGAGATTCTAGGCCTGTTGTTATTTTTGAAGCCCTAAAGTCTCCAGGTTCTGGGGGGCAATTTTTTTCCCTACGGCTTCTTGAAAATTACACATCCTTACAGGCACAAATCAAGACCTTTGATATGCTTAGTGATCACTTTGGCTTCAATTGTAGCAATAGAACAATGTGTTGTTTTCTTTCCCAGGTGTTGTCTTGTTCAACTACCCGAGGGCCTTTTGGTGCAAATGTTTCTTGCTCCTAGGTTGTTAAAATTGTTACTTTGTACTTATGCCTGGCACTGAAATCAGCCATTTACCTGTCGTGTGCCCTAATGTGTTTAAATCTACAATAGGTCTGTTGAGGAATTATTAATTAAATCAGCATTTGAATTGCTAAATGTTACTCTTACGTAGCCATAATTATGTATTAGAGAAGCAATAGAATCATGAATCTCTTGGATGTGGCGAAATCTAATTGCTGTTTTCATGACTTCTGGTTAAGAGATGACTACCAGTTTTGCAGCCTCAGGGATCTCGCTCCCCCCGCTCCATAAGCAAATGGCTCATGTGTGACGCGGTAAGTTACCACTCCAGCATGCTCGGATTCGAGGTGTTAATTGGTCCATGTAAGGATTTGAGCCTTTGCGATAGAAACGTGCTCTCAGCTCCCATTGGACAATCTGGAATTTTCCACCCATAATCTCCTGGCCTTGCAAACACGCCGTTCTGTAGCCTTCCATTCCTTTTCTTTGTGCCAGCCATCAGAGAGCAGGGAGGAGCTGCAGGTCGTAGCTTCTACCCAGCACGCAGCTTTTCACATCCATTAGTAGACAGCTCCAGCTTTATGAGAACCAGCCAGCCTTGACAGATGCAGCTTTTTTTTAAATTTTTTCCCCTGTGAATCTCAGTTGTGTTCTGTTGATCCGTATGCTGAGCAGTCAATTTTTTTCCTATTGGATTTCAGTGAAATTTATACATCCCTCCCCTTTTCCCCTCTTCCTTCCCCCCCCCCCCATGGCAGACTTTTCTGTACTGTGGGTCCTCTCTAGACTGAAGAAATCAATATTTGAAAATAGTGTAGCAAATATGACTTTATGCTTACAGTAGAACATTTTTCCATTTGAAAACCTGCTCAGTGGTCCTGGCTGGTGTGCTCTCAAACTTCTGCTCAGGTATGTCTTCATTCTGACATTTTGCTTCTTCACTGCCCACGTTTTAAACCCATTTTTTTTTTGTCATTTTCAGAATTTTGAGAGAGAAGTAGCAGCAGTTCTTACAATTTTTATGCACTGTTTATTTCTGAGACAAATTAGATTTTGACTGTTAGGCAGAGCTTGAAGAGAGGACACGAACAGGACACAACCAATGGCTGTCAGAACTGCCATTGTACACAAATGTGCACAGGGTTTGCATTGACCAGCTGCAGCGGGATACACTTGGCTAGCTTTGAAAACCAAACTTTGTCCTCTACCTGTGGTGTATTCATCTTGATATGGTTGCTTTTCAAGAAGGAGGACGATTTCTGAGAATTTCAGCTCCCAAGCTGTTCGTTAGTCTGATGAAAATCTGGGTGTCAAGTGGTCCTATGCGATATCCTCTGCTCCTGTTGCATACATCAGGCTTCACATCCAGACTTTTGCTCCAGCAATAAATCTTTCCTGCCCTGCGATGGACTGACACCAGTCTGTGCTTGTTGCTTTTTTCTTCCCCTTGGATTTCAGTTTTTCATGACTCTGTTACTTTGGCTGAAATCTCTGGTGTTCTCTTTTGGCCCATGTTCTTCTGCAGATGGAAAAAATCCACGTGAGGCACAGTGCCTGTACTGCAGTGGTGGTCACATCCGTGTGTTTGCCGTGCTGTCCCAGCTAGTGACACATGTGCAGAACCTTAGAGATGTTTCCATAGATCCTGTACTGTTCTTGTGAGTAGCAAAGAGCTGCGTTGTTACTGACCTTACCAATAGCTCTCAAGATGGTAGTTACTGTTTTTGTTACGATTACTGGAGCTTTTGCATCTCACTGGCAGCTGGCTTCATGTGTTATGTACAGGTGTTGCTGGTGTTGTGTCACCCCCAGCCCTCTGATGCCTGCAAATTGACTCCAAAACAGCCTTTTTGTTACAGGTACTGCTGGCATGCAGATTTCCCCTTCCTTGTTACTATAGTGAATATTTCAATACTTTAATGGAAATATTAATTCTATCTAGTATTAGAAATAAAGTATTATTTCAGAGGGTGATGATTTAAGTATTCATCTGTGAAGGAATTCCTTGGTGATGAATAAAATTGATTTTTAAGTAAAAATGCACGTGCGCAGTAAATATATTGGCATTGCAAATAATGTAGGGAATGGACACGTGGAATGGTTGACTGCTGTGGAAACAGATTGGCAGAATGTTACGAACTTGGAACATTGAAGAAGTCTTCCAGGAAACATAAGGAAAATATTCTTTGTTTAAAAATGACCATTTTCTAATATGTGCATGTGAATCAATGCTGAATTGATGAAAAAAAAACCATGTTTTCTTTATGCTCACAGGAAAAAGACCCATTGTGAGAGGGGTCACCAACTGACCCTACTGATGAAAGCTGTACTAATTCTGATCAAATGGTATCAGACATCTTTGCAGGCTTCTCGGCTGTAATTGCATTCATTTTTGTGACGGTCAGACGAAGCTGAGTTCACTTAGGCAGCCAGCGCCTTTGACCTGACTGTGAACGTGTACGAGTCAGAAATGGGAAGGATGACTTCTGACTGCTGTGTGAGATGCTGTTAAAAATGCTTTCCTGGGTTGTGAGTCCCTGCTACTACTTGTTTGGTACCTTACTGGGTGGATGAAACGCACTTTAGAAACTGTGTAATAGGTAATGCTGATGTTCTGTGCCGTCCTGCTGAGTTTCCTGCACACGTGAACACTTGGAAAGCTTTTACTCCCATGGGTCACTCATTTCATTTTCCTTAAAAAATAGAAACAATTCTGCTGTGTGTGCAGCTTCTCACCCAGAAGCAGTGATGAACTTCGTGGTATCTAGGTTGCTAGTTCTGTTAGAGTCATCGGATGTGGACTTTCCCAATCTCTGTGTTCCTTTGTACTGTGATGCTGTTATTGCTTCTGCTTTAGAGATGTTCTGTACTGAAGTGCCAGGGAACCACTGGTTGCCTTGTGTTCTGGCCACACTGATAGACAGCTTTCTGATGAGGTCATTAGTCCTAAATACTCCTTCAACATTTGGTGTATGGATGTGATATTCTGATGCGGTGATTAAAGGAGAAGATTAAAGTTGTATTTTTATCAAGTTTTATTTCTCAGTAACTATTTCAATGTTTCCTTCTACCGACTGATTTCCACTTCACTTGAATGAGACTGTGGTGTGTGGCAGAGGTTAGGCTTGTGTTTTAAGGGCTGATTTCCATGGAATTTTTGTTTTTTAAATCTGGTTGTGTTGTAGGGCAGTTAGCTGAGAAAGGTGCTCCATAGAGTTCCAAGGAGAAAACCTTGCCAATTAGACCACTTTTCCATTGGGCAAAAGTGAAAATTTCCCCGAGATAAAGATTTTGCTCCTGCACTACTGTGTGTATTTGTCAGAAATAGTACTGCTTTCATCTCTTAAGTCATCCTGTAACTCAGTCCTGTGCTATCTTATTTTGAATGCTGTCATCCGTGCCAAGCAGTACATTTGGAATGCATGTATGCACATTCTTAAAGTGTTCAGGTTCAAGTTTGGGATGTATGTTGCACAACTGTATCTTCCAAGTACAAGAACAGAGAACTTCATGCTATTCTACGATGCTGACAGATCAAGAAAAGCAATAGAAATAAGTAATGGAAAAATTTAGTCTCATGGTCTTTTACACATGTGCATTGAATATTTATTTTCCTGAATCTGACAAAAGTAGATACTCATCTATAATGCATGCTGAAGTGTTCAATCTTGTATGAATGATTTGAATAGAAATAAATGATGTAGAATATTTATCACCATATATATGCTATCAATATATATATTATCTACATATCAGTCATCAGGATATGATCAACAGTGTTTCATTTCAGAAGAGAAAACCTTTCAGTCGCATTCTGAAGCAGATTTCTCCCCATGCTCCGTGTCACAGCTGCGCCATGCAACTGGGACAGGCGTTCTCTGCTGTACCACCACGTCACTGGGTGTGACTTCTGGCAATTCAGGATGAGCCATCTCAGCATCAGCTTTCTGCATCCCCTGGTGCTTTATCAAATCTGCCTTTTGTTTTCACTCATCTTGGTTCAGTGCTGTAACCAATGCCTTTGAGAGTATGGTAGTTATAAGCAGCTGTAATTCCTGCATCAGCTTCTGGAGAGTCACAGTGAAATTTGGATTGGATTTTTCTGAATGAAGTTCTGATAGCAGAAAAAGGCAGAAGAGTACAAAGGTATCGCAGCTGCAGCTCTAAGTCAGCGTTAGAACCGATGCGAAGTAGCGAATCAAAAGGGATATTTTTATCATCAAAGACCAAGAAAAAATTTGCAAAACTCAGTGTTTCCAGATGGCTGCATCCTACAAATGTCTCCTGATGAGTGAAACTGTGCATGACCTATGCAGGCCACCAGGAAGAAACTGCTGCTTCAGCACTTCCAATCAGAGATTCATTTCCAGGTTTTTAAGTAGACCCTTAAAAATGGATGAAGAACAAAATCTCCCCACAACAACAACAACAAAACCTGAGAGTAGGCAGCAATTGTGAGGAGATTAGAATCATAGATTTGCTCAGTTTGGAAAAGACCTTAAAGATCATTGAGTCCAACCACAACCTAACCATACTACCTGAACTCTAACAATCCTCCGCTACATCATGTCCCTGAGCACCACATCCAAACAGTTTTTAAACACATCCAGGGATGGTGACTCAACCACCTCCCTGGGGAGCCCATTCAGTGCTTAACCTTTCTGTAAAGAAGTTCTTCCTGATATCCAACCTAAACTTACCCTGGTGCAACTTGAGGCTTCCCATCATCCTGTCACTAGTGAGAACAATTTGAAATAACTGTGCTCAGTCCTAGTAAACTGGAGATGCCAAACTTCCAGATAGTAAGAGCATCTGTGAACTAGAGGGGATTTGTGAAGGAGGCACGGTCATTTCTGCAGTTCATCTTGTAATACAGCAGGTCCTAATGAGGCTGGTTGCTCTTCTTCCATCAGTTACTACCATCTGTTAGTATCAGCTTCAGTGAGGAAATCTGCACTGCTCTTCTGAGCAGGAGGGGTTTTGGCTTTTTTGCTGCTGCTTCTACCTTCTTTGCCTCTTCCAAATAAAGATCTTTTTTGTGTTTTCTTTCCCATGAGAAAAACTTTCATTGTGCAAAATGTCGACCGCTTGGATTTCTCCTCCCAGTGAGCCACAGTGCTCCACGAGGATGGGTTTTTGGAAAGCTAAAAACCACAGGCTGGTGCCACCGGCACACGTGTCCTTCTGTCCCCTGGGAGCACACATGTCCTCACCACAGTCCTGCAGCCAGGCTGGAGGAAAGCCCAAAGGTATTTGGTCACTAGCGCCATGAGTTCCCACCCGCTCTCAGCCCTGCCAAGCAGCTGCGGAAAGGCCAGGGACGCTCGCTCTTACGCTTGGTGCCCTAAGATACCGCAGCAAGGTAAGTGAGTCTGCCATATTCTCCATCAGGCCTTATTCAGGACTGAGACCCCCTCACCTAAGTTCAGGTGCTGGTTATGTGTTTGCAGCAAGTGGCTCACAGAAGTTTACCATGATTCGGAGGTCGGTGGGTCTTTGCATAATTTTCACCTTCATCATTTTTTCATCATTTTTCATCCAATAAACATTTTACATGAAGCCTGGCTTGCCAGCCGTAGGACATAACAGAGAACGCATCTCAGCCATGGGAGCCAGAGAAGGTGCACTGACTGTTCCTCACGTCATGTATGTATGTGCACTCATTTCCCATGGCAGGCAGGCTGGGGAGCTTGCATTGAGGTGAATGCCCTTCCTCCTGCCCCCAGCATCCTGCTACACCCAGCTGCAGTGCTGTTTTCACTTCAAGTTCACAAAGATGCCGAAGCCTGTTCTTCAGGAGTGAGCAAGAGTCTGACTTGAACACACAGGCATTGCTGAAGGCTTTTCCAGAGCTAAGCAGGATACAGGGATGCCTCCCAAAGAAGAATGCTGCTACCGAAGGAAAGAAAATGTGTTGTGCCATGGGTTTTTTTTTTTCCTTCTGGAGGGAAGAAAAGTTCTTATTTCAGCTTCCCATAAATCGTGATGCTTGTGAACTGGGATGGATGCTGAGAAATCCTTTGTTAGCCTGTGTTCCAAGCCATGATCCAGTGCTTCAGGCTGCAACGGGTCCTGGTTGCTATGTATTTATTCTATGTCTGTCTGTATGATTGAAGAGCAAGCAAAAAATCTAGGGACAGAGGATGAGCTTCCCTTTTAAGAGGACATGCAGTTGAATGCAACTAGTTAATATTTTTCCCATGAGGCATTTTAATCTAATCAATTGCTGCTACATCAGAAGTCTTTCCCTGTCTCTTTTCACTCACTGAAACTTTTTCTTGTACCCAGAAAACGTAAATGGATCAGCATATTCTTAATTTTGTCCTAAGAAACCCAGACTTGAATTTGATGTTATCCTGGCTCCTGGAAGAGGACTTCCAACCCACACAATAGGATTCTTGTTCAGATCTTCCCAGAAGTCCCTGAAGAAGTACTTTTGCTCACATCTGTGTTTGCTGATGCTCCCAAAAGCCAAAGCTTCACTTCCATGGATTTAATACACCACAGCATTAAAAACTATCTTTTTCCTTAAAATACCACTTCCTGCAGGTACAAATGCATTACAGCAGCTGCAGTCTCTTAAAGCACAAGTGACTTCTTACTAGGATCATAATTATTGTTTTCTTCCTCTCTTCTGAATGTTAGGCTACTGCCATAGTTCAGCTACTCACTTTTCCCTAGGTGAACATATTGTTTATGTTTCAGCACTTAAGAACTCAGTTTAGTTTCAGTTTTTCATACCAAAAGAGGATTCTTATGTCAAAAAGATGTTGCTGAGTTACTTTTTTGCTCTTTTTAGTGGCTTCCATTTGTTACTGATTCTTAAATTTGAGTGACAGCATAAGACATAAATAACTTTCTTACAAGGATCCCCTAAGTGCTGAATTCAGAGGATAGAACATCTGTGGTTCCTTCCAGTATCTATCTGCATGGGAAAAGGCTTACCTTTACTCCATATAACAAACACCCATATTAAAACACCTTATGTGGAACAAATACTTTTATTTACAAGAGAAAGTACGACCATTTGAAAATAAAAAATGGTACAAGTCTACTGCTGGTCTTCAGCCTGGCGTACGTCACGTCTCCAGCATGTTTCCTTGGGTGGCATTCTGCCTTAGGGATCACATTTGTGGCAGAACTAATAATCCAGCAAATCGGTACCAAATCTCCAACTGGAGAGCGACACGCAGCTTAGTCTCTTCTTACATAAAAAATATTGTATCCAAGTTCAATCATACCCCCAATAAGCAAGGCCCACAATGGGATAAATACATAGGCTAGTTTCATCGTGGTGAACTGCTGCAGCTTAGCACAGAGGGCAAGGCAGAAGGCCAATTTGAGCAGCATTGCAATGAGATACCAGGTTTTCTTCTTGATGTTCTGGGAGCCGTTGCGAGGGTCAAAGCCAGACTTGCAACGTCCAGCCATCTTTACAATTAACATAACTAAAAGAATAGTATCAAATATCCAGACTGGAATGAAAATGAGGAACCAGTTCCATGGTGCTTTCTCATCCAACTTCAGCACCAGCATGATGAGGAAGAGTAATGTAAAAAGCCATGTCAGTAGTACTCTTTGTGCCAGGGACATTCTCATTTAAACAGCTTGGAGAGGAAGTCTGGCAAGTGGTCAGCAACCTAACGAAACAAAACACACAGGAGGGCCATCAGAAGCTGTCATTATACAACCACCAGGCATGTTCTGTGCACAGTAATAGCACCTCTTTCTGTCAAACAGCAATCTTAAAATACTGAAGCTTATGGATAATGCTTGCATTGCGGCAAGTATCTAAAGTATGCAGGCACTGGCTGCTAGGAGTACATCTATTTACTGGCCTAGTAGTATGTTTAAATCGCACTATAGTCATGATGAAAGAAAAACAGGAACAAATTATCAGTCATAAAGGTTTCTATATTCCTAAATGAGACTTTTAACCACTACAACTGCCAGAAGACTTTCACTACAAGTCTAAAGTACCAACTGTAAAGCAGGAACAGGAAGAACTACGATCCTCCTTAGTCGTCCAAGCTACAACAATGAATAATTACATACCAGTGAAAAACAGGTTTCATAAGCAACTATTTTCAATATTTGAGATTTAGATATGTCATAACGATTAATTCTGTAAAACCAATATTGTTTTGCTTGAAACAAACTGAACTTTGCTTTGTTCCAGCTGACAGAACCTAGCATCTGACCTTTCCTGCCTGCTCCCAGAGGGGCAGGACGAGCCCCTTTCCCCGCAGGCACTGCTGGCTCCTGCTGTGGCTGCTGTTCTTACTGATGCTTACCAGATCCACTAAGTCTATTCAACTCCCTGAACAGGCAGAAAACTATTAGCAACATTTCCGTTCTAATTTTTTTTTCCCCCCACATTGGAACACTAAACTGGACTAGGGGACAGGCATTCTGTATGCCACTAAAATTATCCCTCTGTCACCTGATTTGTAATTCAACCAGATTTCATTTTTGCTAAGTCTTTGAGGGCAAAAGTGGGAACTGTTTTAAGGAATAGATCTGGCCAAGCCTAAAATAATCCAAGTTGGAGTTACTGTCAGTGCAGCTCTTCCCTCTGGCCCTTGAGAGACCCCAGGTCAGTTTCTTGAGCTGAACAAGTGAAAATAAAGTTTTAAATAGTATTTCTGTAGCTTGCTCAGACTTTCTAAGGGTGTGATGAAAGCCCATTACTGAAGGGCAAAACTGGGACCCATCCTTGAGGATGGGGCAGAGCTGAGCAGCAACATATACATGGGATTTAAATTGCTAGGCAGGCTGAAAAAAAAAAAAACAACAGATGGAAGTTCAGCTAGCATTGCTCTGTCTGTAGGAACACACATAAACCAGCTGTCAGACAGGACTACAGAACAATTATTATAATCCACCTTAAGTATTTCCCGCTCTTTGAAAGTATTTTCAGGATCCTCAAGTACAAGTTGATGGCTACGGTGAAGAATGCAGTGATCTGAAACTTTCAACATTCCCTTCATGAAAACATTCCAGAGAACTCGTTCTGGAAATCATCATGACAGGCACTACAGGGAGGAGAACCTCTTATGTACAAACTGGAGGGAGGAGAAACCAAAGAAGCAGACTGGAAACTTGTGCCTGAAAGGCAAAAGGAAATTCAAGACTCTTAGAAGTATCGGGTTATTGGATACTCGATGAAGGCGCTATCAACTGTCTCTAGAGAAAACAGAATCAGAATCATTTGAATGGGAAGGGACCCTTTAAATTCATCTAGTCCAACTCCCCTGCAATAAACAAAGCCATCTACAATTAGATCATGTTGCTCACAGCCACATCCAGCCTGACCTTGAAATGTCTCCAGGGATGGGGCATCCGCCACCTCTCTGGGCAGCCTGTTCCAGTGCCTCACCATCCTTATTGTAAAAAAGACAAAAAAGAAAGCTACAGAAGAGGTGTTAGATGGAGCTTCTTAGTTAGAAAGTTGCTCATTTCACGAGGTTCAGAACCACCTCATTTAAATCAATTTAAACAAGCGGACAAAAACCTCTGCAAGGGACGTGACGCTGCCTTTCATTTCCGTAGTTAAGGGATGTACCTGCATGACTGGACAAGAACTGCAGGGCTCCACTCAGTTCTATAAGTGTTTTTGGGGTGAAAATTCAAAAAATCCAAGGGTACTTCTGAGATCTTACAGTCCTGTAGTACAAGCACGGGATGCTAAAAAAAATCTAAAACCCAGCAGCTGGGGATACAGATGGCAGTGATGGATGGATTGATGACAAGGAGAACGTGACCATATTTTGTAAGGAAAGAAAGAACAGTATCTGCAAGCAGCTGGAAGCGAGCTGTCACAAGATGGCTAACCTTGGGAAAGGGATGCAAATCTGGTACGCACCTGAACCAGTTCTCTGAAAGCACTGAAGTAATGTCAGTGGCAGAGTATAAAAATAAAAACACTGTTAGCTCCTAGTGGGACTCCTGTAATTAGCAGGAAGTGAACATTATCAGTGATGAGAGACACTATGCAAGTAGTATTACTGACCTCAGTGGGATGAGCACAATAATTAGAATACTGTGCTAGCTAGCTATGTCCTGTTTAGAAGGAAAACATAGAAAGTTAAACACAGCACTCAGCTCTGCATTAACAACAGAGCTACAAGTGTACACATAAAGCCCAAAAGTTACTTACAAGTTGTAGGAACTGAAGCCCAACTAAATATAAATCTAAGCACTAAGTGACGTCTTAAGGGTGACTCAGTGGGTACCCGACCAACGGGACGCATTCCCATAGGCCCGCGGTAAACACTTTCACTCGCTCTTTGCTGGGCGCTCCTTTCCCTGCCGTACTGCGGGGACAGCAGGGCCTGCAGGCGATGGGCGGAACGAAGCGCAAAAGCACGGGGTTGCCCAGCGGGAAGCGGCCAGAGCCGGGCTCCCCACAGGAACGCTCCCAACTCAAACCTTACGCCTGACAGCGGGGACTCCGGCAGCCCGGAGCCGTGACCGCCCCTGCAGCCTGCACAGCTCCGTGCCGACCGCCCACAGCTTTGGAGCCTTTCTTCCCAACCCCGGCACTCGGCACCCGAGCCCTTCCCTCAGGGCCGCGCTGAAGCATCCCGCCCGGCCCGGCCTCAATCGGGCTTCCCGCGAGCCGAGCCGCCCACCGGACGGACCCCGATCCCGGACGGACCCTGGAGCCGTTCGCCCCCTACGTACCGCCCGGCCCGGGGCCTCCCCGCGCAAAGTCCCGGCGCATCCCCAGCCTGCCCGGCTCCGCGCAGGCAGCGCGGCTCCGCCCGCCCCGCTTCGCCACAGGAAGCTCCGCCCCTTTTCCTCTCCATTGGCCAGCGGGGAAGCCTCTCTTACCGCGCTCCCGCTCTCATTGGGCCGGCGAGACGCCCGTCAAAACGAGGCCGCCCTCCTCCCTGCCGGCGGTTGGTGGAGGTTCATCCTTCTGCCCGCCTGCCTCTCTTCTCCTCGTCGCCAATTCGCTCACAGCGCCGTCAATCGCTCCGTCTCCGCCCGCCCACAAAGGAGCCCCACGCCCTCACGTGCGCGCGCTCGGTGGTTGCTGCTCGGGCGCGCGCCGGCTCCTCCTCCTCGTTTCCCTCTGCGCTCCCCCCGCCCTCAGCTGTTGCCTCGCGCGCCGCCGCTCCTCGCAGTCTCGCGCTCCTCTCGCTGCCCGTTGTTTGCGGCGCGCGGGGCGGTAAGGTCGGGGCGCGCGGGGGGAGCGGGCGCCAACTTCACCTCAGGGCTCGGGGTGGGGCGGGCGGGGGGCCGCGGCGGGTCTTGCAGGGCGGCGGGGCGCGGCAGCCTCGGCCCCTCCGATCGGAGCCTCGCGGGGGAGCGAGGCCCTCGGCCTCCGCAGCGCGGAGACCCCCGGCGCGGGGCGGCCGCGGCCTCGGGGCAGGGCGGGAGCGGCGCGGTGCGGCGCGGGGTCCGCGGGCGGCCGCGGCGTCGGGCCCTTCCCCGCCCGGAGCCGCGCGGGGCCGGTGCCGGGTGCCCGGGCTCTCGGTATTCCCCGCCCTTACAAACGCCGGATTTCAGCACCCCCATCCCCGAGCTCGCCTCGCTCCGCGCGCCTTGCACGCCCGCCCCTTTGCCCTCCCTCGCCCCGTTTCTCCCCTTCCCGCGCCGACCCGCGGAGTGCCGGCCGCGTCCCGCCGCTCGAACCCTCGTGCCGCCCCCCTGCCGGCGCATCGGCGCGCGGAGCGTTGCTGGAAGCGGCCGCGCGGTGCCGGAGCTGTCCCGGCGCGGCTCAGGTGTCCTAAGCGCCCCGCGCCTTTCGCAGCGCTCCCGCACGTTGCCTGTCACCCGGCGAGCAGCGCCGCTGCCCTGCCTCTCGTTCTGCCCGTGTCTTAATTAACCCGAGAAAGTAATTAATTGGAAAACTTGTTGAGAGTGCTTAAATTAACGCTCCGAAATGTTTTTTTCTTCTTCTTCTTTTTTTTTTTTTTTTCTTTTTTCTGGTGAAGATGCTCCTTCCTGCATGTTTAACACTCCTGGCGCTCTGCTTCTCTGACAGGGATGATGTGTGTCATCAGCACCTCGCCTGCTTCCATCTTCCTGTTGATGCTGGCGGTGTCCGTTGCAGCAGGGCCTCCCTTCAGGCAACCTGCAGCATCCCCCCCTGAATGGTGGTTGCTAAGGGCTGAAATCCCATGTTGGGGTGTTTTTGTTTTGCTGGGTTGGAGGCTAAAGGCGTTCCTCGATCAAATCTCAGGGTTATAAATAGCCCTGTGTATTTGGCTATTTCTGTGGCTCTGACAGTTTTAGTGATCTTCTTTGATTTGCCTCTTTCTTTGTGACTCCCTGGAAAGGATAATCCTGATAAAGGATAATTCCTGAGGAGCCTTATTCCTGTCCTGGTGAGGTGTTTACAGACTGATGGACTTACGCACATCACACTTCTGTCAGTTCTTTTTCTTTCTTTCTTTCTTTCTTTCTTTCTTTTTTTTTTTTTTTTTCCCCCAGAGATCTCCCTTACAGTATTTGTAAACAGTTCTGAAAGCAAAGATTGAGAGCAGCATTCAGAACTTATCCATTTAAGCTCTTGATCCCCTTTTAAAGTGGAGTGTTGGTGCAGCTGAATTTTCAGTTGCTATGTTTTAGTGTCAATGTATGTTTGTATTCTGGACGTAAATATTATAGAGGCTAAAACACTCTGAGTCATCTGAAAAAGAATTTGGAAACCTGGTTTGTTTAATTCAGTGTTTGCAGAAGGGTTTTTTCCTCTTGCATTATGTGGAATGCGCCGTACAAATAAATTGCCAATGTGTCTGAGCCCTGTGGAACGTTTAGAGCATTCCAGCGGTGCTGGCCTTCTCCCAGAGCAGACTCAGCTCGCCTCGCCCTGAAAGTTTGTCCCAGTGGCACCCAGTGCTGCACAGTGCTGCCTCTGGGAGAGCTGGGAGGGCTGTGAGCTGTGGAGTGGGGTGTGAACTATCGGGCTCTTGGTGCTGCAATAGAAAGGACACGTGGCTGCGTCTGGGTTTCCACTGGGCTTTGCTTCAGCTCCTCAGGCTGAGCTGTGTGGTTTCTCTTTGAGTTGGCAGGGGTCACTGGGAAGCAGGGGATGTGATTTCATTCCCAGTTCTCTAAAGCTGTGTATATTGCTCCCCTTACTTTGTCTAAATACTGTGTCTTACTCTTTGTTTATAGTGGAACCTGGGAAGGAAACAGTAATTTCATTTACTATCCTTTTCTCAGGACTCTTGTGAGTGAGAATTCCAAAACAGTCTCTGTTTCTGTGAGAATGCTGGAACAGTTTTTCTGGGTCTGTGAGGAAGATCTTAACATGATTGATGCTCTACAGATTCATGACCTAACAGTTTCTGTGAACTTTGTGCTGGGCTTTCCAAGAGCACAAAACCTGTGCAATTACTTGACCAACTTTTAAAATGGTCTGATAGTGGTGGAACAAAGGGGAATGGTTTTAAACTGAAAGGGGAGATTTAGGTTGGATATTAGGAGGAAATTCTTTACTCAGAGGGCGGTGAGGCCCTGGCACAGCTGCCCATAGAGCTGTGGGTGCCCCATCCCTGCAGGCACTCAGGGCCAGGTTGGATGGGGCCCTGGGCAGCTGAGCTGCTGGGGGGCAGCCAGCCCACAGCAGGGGGTGGGGATGGGTGGGCATTAAGGTCCCTTCCAACCCAGACCTTTCTGTTATACTTAAATCTTTGTCAGTCTTCTCCCATTTGAGTGACTTCTTCAGTCAGTCAGATGACACAGCCAGGTCTCACAATGATGAAAGATGTTACCTGCGTGGTGACAAAGTTTTGTGAAATTTTTGACAGGTGGTGGCCCACAGTGATATTCCCAGCAGAAGGGCAGCTAGAATAGAGCCCTGTATTACTTCAGGAGAGCAGCAGCTGGCAGTGCTGTGTGTTGAGCTGTGAGCCATGGTGGTGTGCTGCTTGTTCAGCCCAGTTGTTTGTGCAGCTGGTAGTGCAGGTGAGATGGGGCTGGTAGGACACCGGATGGAAAAGTGGCAACAGGCTTAAATTAATTCTGCCCACAGGGCAGCATAGGCCTGTGTTGTTTTTTTCTTCTTCTTTTTCTGTCTTTTTTCCTTTCTTTTCTTTCTTTCTTTCTTTTTTTTTTTTTAAATATTGTTTTCTGTTTTGTGAAGAAAACAAAATAAAACTTTTAGGCTGCTGTTCAATGACAGCTGACCACTGCTTACTCTAAGATATGGAGCAGCATGATAAAGAAGAGGCTTTGAATGCTTTAAATGTTGTGTTTTCTTGTTTGAGTTTCCAGCGCTGCTGTTCCTAAAGGTCTGACTGGTTACAAAGCTTGACTACTTAAAGAAGTCAAGCTCAGATTTTTTTTGAAAGAAATACAAAGAGGTTAATAAATAGCCTATGGAGGAATCCTAATTCCAGTCCCTGATTGTAATTAGGGTTATAATGCATTGCAATGTAATTTTTGGGAATACTTTCTATGTAATCATAGAATAACAGAAGTTGAAAGGGATATCTGGAAGTCACTTAGCTCATCTGAGCTTGGAAGCAGGGCCAGCTTCCAAGTCAGAGCACACATTTGTACATATGTACAGATACCCATTGTGTTATCAGTAAATTTGGAAATGTATATATGTTTTTTTTAATTTTCAGTTGAAGGGGGATATGAAGAGTTTATAGAACTGTTCTCTTTTTTTCTTAATTTGTGTAAAAAGGGGATTTTTTCAAACGCACTTTTAGTGGGGCTACTGCTTAAATGAAACATGTGGTGTTCAGTTGTGACTATTCTTGTGTCATTTGAGGTGGGCTTGATAGGTGGATTCCAGAAGGTCTGGGTGATGCACTTGCTGGATTGACTCCAAGCATTGCATTGACTTCTGTTTGCAAATAAATTTGTGGTTCTCGCTCTTAAATACTAAAAT